TATATATATATATATATATATATTTTATGTGCTTGTGCGCGTACACATCACGGTAATCGCGCTCGTCGAGGCGCGATGGACTCCAAACGAAATGGAGCGGTCCTCCTCGAATGAGCCCCTCTCGCTTCCATCACTTGCCATTACAGCACCGTATTGCGCCGCTTTCTCTATTTTTTTCTTTTTTCTTCTTTTTTTTTTTGAGATTGATTGGCCTACGAACTTTTGCCTGACACGCTTCTACAAAGCTTTCCTCTTGCTTTTTTATTGTTTACGCTTCGATTTGCGCATAATGAAGACGCTTGCGCGCACCTATTTACATTCCTCTCGGATTGTTTCGCCGGCGCATAATCGTTCAAATTGTTGGATTCACACTCAAATACATCGCAAGATTTGCGTCCGGTAAAATTAAATAGGAAACATTCAATTATTCAGTTAGAAAAGAATAGTATAGATTTTATAGATGATACGTATCTAAAAATACCTCGTTATTTCCTTATGGAATATTCCAATTGCATGTTTTCGAAATAAATAATGTAGTAGTTTTTATATAGAACGAAAAAGAAAAAAATGCGTAATGCATTTTTTATTATTTTATATAACACAATTTATAATATATGATATTTATGGCTTAATATAGAGATAATTGAGATCATAAAATGCTTTATAGTGCATATCTCAGAAAACGTAAGCGTGCATGCACATATGAGAAAATATTCCCATATTTAGATATATTCCCATATTTAAAAATATTTTCACATTTAAAAATATGACTCTGGAAATATGCAAGAATACAAAATTTGCTTACTAGAATTTGAGATGAATTAATTTTACACCTTTGTTAATAAATAAATTCGTGTCCAATTTCTCTGAATAACAGTCGCAAATTTCTCACAAGTTTGGAATGAAACATTTCTCAGTTATATTGTCAAAATATCATTAACGTTATTCACAAATATTCTTATTTATTTTTAATTAACATAAAGAAACGAGTTTACTGGATACAGCATAATTGCGACACAGTTACAAAATGCGCATAAAAGTAAAAAAAAGTAAAAACTATGACAAATTAAAAAAAAATCAGAGAAGAAATTCTCTCGCGCATATTCGCGTGGGAATAGTTGACAGTGATCAGTTAATAACACCCGAGAATTTATTAGCGCAGCAATTACACGTCACGGCGTAACCGCAGTGCGCCTGGAGAGCCGCCAGAAACACGAACGATGAGAACTTCCGGTCCATACGGCATATCCACGAAATACTAAAATCTTTCATATCTGTCGACATATTCGCGTATTTAAACCACGAGATTAATTACTTATCATATATACATTCGTTTTAAATCTTCAAATATTGTATAGCGTCATTAATATTAATTACAAAATACAATTAAATATATAGGCTATTATATATAATTGTAATGTAACAAAATCGTAATCTTTTGATTCTGCACTTGTGACTTTAATTAGTCAAGTAAAAACAGTGATAAAATTTTTGACGTTAATCTAAAAATGTACAAATGATACGAACGGTAGACAAATGCGCATTAAATTCTTCGTAGCAACGCGAATAGGAAGTAAAGTCTTTACTTTAAAAAGTCTGTGTGTGCGCACGTCGTTCAAGAAGGTGGCAAACTTTGCCCCAGGTCGGACTCTCCCTCTTGTCACGGATGGCCATGACATCTTATTGAAGTTGCAAAATTCCGAACTTTATTCTTTCAAAGTTCTTTAAATTTTCTCAGAATTTCATACTGGTTGATAGTTACAAAAATTTTGAAAAAAAATTTGCTCAAACTTACGCGATTTCTGACATTGCTACTGACGAGATAATTGAGCCCATAATGGAAAAATGTATAAAAAAAGAGGGCAAGGAGGAAATTAATAAATAACAATAGAACTGAGAACTTAATTTAAATTAGGTGTAAAAACGATTCAATTTCAAATATATCTTCCGAGACAATTTTAGCATGTACATAGCATTTTATCATAGCAGTTTTACAATATAAAAGACTAATTTCAAAGATAATGAATTCATTTTTCTTATTCTATTGTTTCCTCGCTGAAATATATATCGTTAGGAAAGAGAAAACTAACTGCAAAGGAAAAGAAACTTTTTGCAAGTACCAAATTAATTTTTGCATTACTCTTTTATGAATGCAAACACGTGGAGATAATGATCGAAATATTTTTAGAGACGCTATATATTATACAACACCATTCTTACACAGCGCATGATGCATGGATTTTGTAGCAGTCTTGTAGCATGTTTGCACGTAGTGGTTTCACAAATATATCCGTATTTGGATGTATGTATGATACGTAGTATATGTAGTCACCATACATACACAGTTCCTACACCTTATCTCGTCGCGTGTATACATGAATTATATTTCGCGTCGCGAGACTCTTGTCCTATGATCGACCCTAACGTCGACAGGAATCTCGATGCTCACGAGGCGTGTAGGTCACGCGTATGTTCTCGCGTAAGATTTCCAGTTGTAATCGCGTCTAGCATCGTATAATTATAAACTATTAACTTGCCGTCCTGCAACTCTGCACTGTTATAACAGTGCTCGTATCTAGATTTTTAATGTGTGCCTCTGCGATATAAATTTAATTGAAAAAATTACGATAGTATTATAGTAAATATAACACAGAAAGAGAGAGACAGAGAAAAATATTTTATAATAATTTATATAATAATTATTAAATCAAAAATTACTTTATACAAAAATAAGATTCAACAAATATTACAAATTCATTAAAAACTAATATTCGTGCGTTCTAATTATTAAGAAATATATATTACATGTAAATATGTTATTAAGTAATTACATATCACGAACAAAAAATTTCTTATGACAACTTTGTGACTTTCTTTATATTTTCTATATTTTAATGAATCTCTTTTATCAAGAATTTCCATTATCTCGTCTTTAATCAATTATAATTTAATGATTATGAAATTCTGTTATAGTTTAATCCGATAATACAGTAAGACAACGAAACCTTGCTTATATATCAACCAAGTTTTGGACATATTTCCTTTAGGGTTTCTTACTGTAATAGTGAGACGATTAAGGAACTTCCACCTGGGATAATAAATCTACTCGTCTATTTCACTCGAACGCGTTCAAAAGCTCTCTCTGTCTCTCGCTTTTCGGCTTAATATTCAAACTTTCTTAGGCACACGAATAAACATTTCGGTAAAATTGACAGTGGAGTAATTTAGAAAGCTCATGAATGAACTAACATTGCCAATGAGTTTATATGAGCGCTATAACGTGTTAGATGCACGACGGAATAGTATATTAAAAAATATTTTAAGATCTTCGGCTTTTTACATGGAAGTGATTTTTTAACGTAAAAGCATTTCTTTATAACTTGACATTATTTTTATTATCCATAAAGTTCGAGTTTGTGTCTTTTGATATCACATATTTTATAGAGTAATATTAAAATTATTATACATATATAAAATTTTATAATCAGCAAAATAATTTTAAAATATTTTTAAATTTTTAACCTAAATTTATTTAATGATTTATTTAATTATATATATATATATATATATATATATATATATTACTATATATATATAATTAATTAGTTATTATGCATAATTATCAATACAGATGGTGCTTATATAAATGCCATCAAAATAATTTCATCAAAATTTTTGCTGGAAATTTTACATAAATAAAATTTATATAATTAATTTTCTTCACTTATTCATACACAATTCTAATATAAAATATATTAAATTTACGAAAATTATTGGAGTAATTATTTTTCAGTAATTATGCTTAATTACAAATCAATCAAATTTATGGTAAGATACATATACACAACTTTTATCCATGACACATTAATCAATTCTCTTTTTCATAAATATATTATTGCATATTTCTTGAACGATTGCCATGCAAATTGATCGATTAACAAAACTAAATTTAGTAACAAGATATTTATATCGCTTTTACGTTTAATATGTTACTGCGAAAATTTAATAATAGAATCGACTCACGGTCATCAGTCACGTTTACTCGAAATCGGTCTCGCTCGAGCTGCTCTACACGTCGCTCAGATTCGCTCTATCGTGCCACGATTAAACGCTCTTGCGCGTGTGAGATCCAATGATGGAGCGCTTTACAAAGCTCTCGAAGTTGCCCTCGCAACTCGGACTTTATAACCGCTCCGAGCCGAATTAACCCTCGCCTCGTTTCACAGCGTGGGGTCAAGTGTTGTAGAAAGCCGGAGGAGGTCTGCATAGTAGAGGGTCACGTAAGCGTTAAGTGGCTGATTTCACGTGTTACGATAATCGCGACGAGCCGCCTCGATAAGTCTTCGAAGGGTGCCTGTCGACGTTCGCGATCCCGAATGTGTTTTCCTTCCTCGTTAACAATCCGCACATGTATCTCTTACGATCGACATTTGTTACATACAAAACGACGCCGTGACTTCGCGATAAACGTGTTATACTACAATCTTACTATTTATCTCGCGCAATTCCGTATACGATTCGTGAACCCCGAGTTCTCTCACGTAAAATAACGCGAATGCTTTTTCAATTTCTTGAGATTTTCCGCGGCCCGACACACATGGGAAGAACGAGGACTAACGTAGCATTTCAAATGCTTTATTTAAAAAAAAATGTACGAATAAAATTTGACTGACGTAGAAAAACTTAAAGAATCACGAAACTTTAGATTAATACCTGCCTTAAAATATTTTATGTGTTTATATTCTTGAACTATCAAATTTATTTAATAATTTTTCTACTTTTATCTTTACGGTAATGTATCTAAAAAAATATTTTCCAATTAAAAATAGCGATAAATCGAGTTATTTTTATCAGTTTTCAGAGATATAAAATTCAAGAAAAAAAAAGTACAATACATAAAATGAAAGGCACAGAAAGGCTTACGTAAATCCTCGAATTTCTCTAGTGTATTTGTGAACACAAATGACTTCCAGTCTAATAAGTCACCTGTGTCGTACCAGGACTTCACGTTGGATTTTTACTTCCGACAATTCTGGACGGATCCACGACTCGGGTTCAAGCAAAGACCGGGCGTCGAGACACTCAGCGTCGGCTCGGAATTTATCAAGAACATTTGGGTACCCGACACCTTCTTTGTCAACGAGAAGCAGTCATACTTTCACATCGCTACCACCAGCAACGAGTTCATTCGCATTCACCACTCGGGAAGCATAACGCGTAGCATACGGTGAGTATAAAATATTTATATTCATATATAGCTTCCACAGTTATATTATACAATATATATATATATATATATATATATATATATATCGTCCGATATTCACAAGAAATATTTTCAAATATTTTAAGATTTTTTTTGCGTAATAAATCCTCGTTCTAAAATCTCTTAATCGCATCCTTTTTCAGTAAGGTTGAATTTACATAGGAATTGAAAAAAGATATATGCGTATACATATTTCTGTGTCTCCCCTCTTTTCTGCGCGAGCCAATTAAGCAGGGATAATTCGGAATTGTTACTTACACCGTCCGGGGAATACATTCACGGTATTTTCTGCCGCGGCTACAAATCGAGTACATTGTCCTCCATCACTATAAAACGTTCGTGGCACTTCTGGGACCAATTGTGCCCGGCACGACAAATTTGCTCCCTGTAGCAACCTCCGCCCCTTCTTGCTCGACACAGCTCTCGTATCATTTTTCCCTGTTTGACCCCTTCTCGGGCCGGGTGTATTCCGGTATTAACGCGCCAGCTATATTCAGACGATCCATGCATACCTAACTTGCGCTCCCTCGCGCAATATCGTTCCATTATATTACATCCTCGACTTCCGAATCGGAACTGCCGAATCGAGCCGCTCGCTGTCGGGAACGGAGGAAGAATATCGATGAAGCAGCGCGCGCGCTCGTTTGCGTGAATAAATTCTTCCCGTGCTATATAGAGAACGGGAATCATCAATCAATGTCGTCCCTACGAATCATGCGAAATACGGTACGTCTGTGTAACGTTTCGTATACGTTTCGTCGAAGACGAGAATAGACACGTATTAACGATACGACATGTCGAATCAATACAGATTGGTTCTTACACGTTAATCCCACCGTGAGTCGAACGTAATGAGGTCGACTGCGAATTAATTTATACACGTAACACGTATACACACATACACATTCAGCTTTACTCGGGCGCAACTGGATTGGCTATAAATTTCCGTATTCATAAGATCCGCAAAACACTTCGTCGAGACGAAGCGATCGTTAAACAAGATTTTAATTGAATGTGTTTCAGCTTAACAATTACAGCGTCGTGTCCCATGAACTTGCAATATTTCCCGATGGACCGGCAATTGTGCCATATCGAGATCGAGAGCTGTAAGTACGCAACATACACGCGCGAATGTATATATTAAGTATATATACATTTTTTTTATACGTATTTATATAGGTGCATACAAGTGAACAAAATATGATTTCACGGAATTCGACATTCTCTCGCCTGTTACTTCTACTCGACATACTAACACGTACATACATACTTACGCACATTATAATGGAGAGACTTTCTCATGCATTTCTCGATATTACTTCTCAGAATGACAATCGACTCGCCGTATCTTTTTGGCGTCAATCATACATGTATTCGATGTAATTAAATGAATTATCAAAATTTTTCTAAATTAATATAGGTTTTCTTAATATCAATCAACGTATAGATATAATGATAAGATGTATCTCGATAAAAAATCTATTGTCTTATAAAATAGTTTTTAAAAAATAACTATTTATTTAATAAAGATAAAAGCGAAATCTTCAAGAAACGATCATCAATTATGAACAATATCTTTCAAAAATACTGCGGCGTTGCATCATTTGATTGGCCGTAATTCTCAATGAAATAGATCGTAAAATATAAACGATCAATTCCGGCATATGAACTCGTGCGTATAATTCGAGAATATAACGTCGAAAGAGATACGCAGAAAGTATCTTTATCGAAAGTCGATTGTCGCTGATTCAACGCGATTCAACTGTACATCGCCTTGAACCTTTTTTTCAGATAAACACAGAAAGATGCTTCTACCGTATATATTTGCGTCGAGCATAAAAAAAAAAACAGAAAAAAAATTTATATCCCCCTCTATCACACGCTCACACAGAGAGAATACTGTCAATTTCCATAACCCGTCACCTTTCCATTTTTTTCCTTTTCTCTCTTTTCCTTCCTCTCACCCTCAATTATACCAACGATTTCTGCCCTCCTCTCTCTCGCCCTTTTCCCGACATCAGGTTTTACTTCCTTCTTTCTTCTCTATCTTCCCTCTCTATCTGTTTATCTGTCTGTCTGTCTGTCCGTCACTCGCCACTTCACACGCTCACTCACACAATCAGTCAGCCACACAGTGAGAATCACTCTCATTCACCTCACTCGCTCACTCACCCGCTCTCGCTCACACACTCTGGTTGGGTTTCTATTTTTTTTTTTTTTATTCCATACACGATGATTGTACGTGTGTAACAACATGGACTTGCAAAGTCGGGCATTTATTGTTGCCCTGTTCTTTTTACTTTTTCCTCTCGCGAAGCAAAAGTCGATCAACGAAAAAAAAAAAGGTGTACGTGACATTTCAAATATTAACGTGCAGAGAAAAATATAGAATAACGCGTGTATAAAATTTTATTCTTTGTTTTTTTTTTTTTGTTGCACCGGTGGTTATGGGTTTTTTTTAACAATGAAAGCCCGATTTTGCATTAATTAAGCACAGTGTGCGGTCAGTAAGCAGAGAGAGCTTTGACGCGCCGTTATGACAACGGCTTCTATCGATACGCGCGCTGTATACACACAAACTGAGTCATCGATGAGACACGTCTCGATTAATCGACTTACTATTAATCGAATTGCTATTGTTACGAATCATGGATTAACTAGGAGTTATGATGCGCCGTGAGAACCGGCCCAGTGCGCGGAGACACATGCGAAAAGTTTATCGCTAGTATATGTGTGCGTGTGTATCTTCGTGTGTGTGTGTGTGTGTGTGTGTGCGTGCGTGTGTCGATACGCTGTGATAGCGCTAACGTTTCACTGTCACGAGCTCGTGTTGTGATTGTCGTCATTACTGCAAATTGCACGGTGTGTTTATATGCAAAAGCAAATGAAAATTTCGAACTCGTTCTTTTAAGATAATTTTTTAATTAATTCACATATACGCTCACGTCGTGGAATAATTATCGTTATTCGTTAGTATTGGCGTTAATAATTCGTACACACGGGGTAATACAGGTACTGCGCAAATTTCCTGAATAAATCAATGCAATATGGTTACTCCAAATCAGCGTTATGATTACACAATGATTGCATAATGAATAATTAAAAATGCATATACCCGTGTAAACGTGATTTTATACGGGAAAACGATTCGGGTTTGTAGAATATTCGCAGAAATATGTGGATACAATATTTTTGCAGGGCCATATCGAAAGCAGTTAACAAAAATTATTACAATCTTTTTTTGAACATTTTTGATCGTTCGAGATAGAAACGCTCAATATTACCGATTTATATAGGATGATGGAAAAAGTTTGGCTTTAACTTTGCCCCCGCTAGAAGATCTATATTAAAACTCGCTCGGTCGTGGAATAGGGTCGAGGGGTCACCGGAAGTCCGGCGTACGAGATATCGTAGAGAGTCGACCAAGTTGGTCGATTAGTTTCGTTGAGTAGAAAGCTCGGACTTTCGCAAACGCCCTTCCGTCCTTAATTGGTCGGATTGCTCGAACGAAAGTTATTACGATCATTATAAGAGTTGTTACCATATATTCCCGCGATACGTATTGCGTTCGCATAAGTTGCTAAACTTTCGATACGATTAGAAAGATTTACAAACTTTCATCAACTTTTACTTGGATTCCTGTCTTTCTATAACTGAAGTTTTTTTTTTCAATGAAAGATAAACTACTAAACACGGTTAACAGATATCGATAAAGAAAAGATATCAATCATTGGGACGATAAATATAGCTTTGCGTTTCAAGTTGCAAGATTAGTTTGATAATTTAATTTTTACATTTTTATAGACTTTCTTTTTAGGGAACACTTGACATTAATGTAATAATTCTGTAACAATGTGTAAAATTCTACTTGGAAATTAGATTTGACACAGACGTAAATAGAAGGTAATAATATAAAATTTTCCTATCTGGTTTAACCAGTGATTGTCCCAAAAACTGATCGTTTCTATATATAATCGTAGATTTTGATAGACATTTTCGCGCAATTTCTGCCAGAACACATCACGGCTGATGGGATCTATAAAAGGAGAAGGCGGGGATGCGCGAAATTTGTAAAACTCTGGAGAGTTTCTTGATTAGTTTCGCTGGATTGAAGTGCCGGATCACGAACGTCGTTTCGCTCTTAACTTAGCCATTAAGCGCGATATTATTACCCTTCTCCGCATCGATTTTGTATTACTGCAACGGCGAGAATGGTGCTATAGTTCGTGAGTATTTTTGCAACCGACCGCAGTTTCTCACGTTCTCTTGATTACGTAAAAAAAAAAAAAAAAATAAATAAAAAAAAAGAAACACAAAAGCGTCTTTATTTGTGCATTCCACGTGCACGATAAAATAAAACCTTTTATGCGCGAACGGTCGTTCCGTTCCGTCTTATGGGCTCCGCTAAATTCATTTCAGGAGATGTATAATCAGGCGGTATCGCGGATCGTGGATGAAAATAAACGTGCAACTTGCAGTAATCACGGATCGCAGGAGCTAGCGAGTTCGATCGCGTATCATTCTTCATCGCTCGTCGACACGAAACGACTGCGACTTTCACGATAAAAGAGCGACAAAGTTCAAATTACTTTCCCGAGGTAGCTTCTCAACTATAAAAAAGGGGGAAAAAGCGATACGTATCCAACGACCAATACGTTTACAGGACACGCTTGGTCACATCCTACGCAGAGACCGTATGCGAACGTATTATTTATGAGAACATTCTCCGAGAAAGGGTCTCCACTTTACCAAGTTACCGCTGACTGTGAGTCGTCACGTCGGTCTTAGCTGAATTCTCGCGTGATTTCTCAATGGTCGCGCGGTCATTCGACAATGAACACGACTAATGATCGCGCGCGTCTGCACGAATATCAAACTGAATACAACACACGACGTGTTCCTCTTCCTAGACTGTCGTCGCCGAGCGGAAAATTCCTCGCGGATCAGTTTCCATGGTGCAATTAGTCGAAATCATCGGAATACAATTTTTTTGATCAAGCTGTAGATGAATCGAGCGAGAATTTTTTCGCATCGGGAACGACAGAAATGCCGAGTGAAGGTATCTAGACCCGAGTTCATGAGCGCTAATACATTTAGATACGAGAAAGTAGAATTTGTTCCGTTTTCACGAGATCGAGGGTGATTTTCTTCGACGGGAGGAACGTGTAACTAGAGAAAGACTAACGCTAAACTAGATACACCACGAGGCATACGCGCAATTGTAAATATATACAATATACAAGACGAGAATTCTCTTTCACGCGAGCTGCTAAGGAAAATTGATCCCGAAATGGAACAGAGCGCGACGAAAGTGTGCTGTTTGAAACACTATTTCACTACTTTGCCACTCACCACTACCACTGACCACCGGCCATCACTCAACCATCACTCACCGACTCTCCTCTTCCCTCGACCTTGAAGGGCCTCCGACATATAGCACTGAGCCTCGTGTCCGGGGACGTAGTAAGGGCCGACGACGGCCAGCCCCGAAGGAGGCAAAACCCAGAAACGGCGTGTCAACAATGGTCCGACCGAATTAAAACGCATTGTGCATCTAGCCCAGCGCATGTAAGAACGAAACGACTGCAACATTATTATTATTATTATTATTATTATTATTACCCATGGCGTACCACGCCGTGGTCACGTTATCGGTATGCCTATGAATCTGCTTGCGATCTGATTCTGATCTCTACGATTCTCTTGCTCCGGTATAATTAAGTCTCTTCCTTCCTTCTTTATCTCCCTTCGAACGACTCCTTTATACGTATGGTAGAGCAATAAACGTTAAGCTAATCTAACATAGTTTGGGGGAATAGCATGTGTCTGCATGGATATTTACTTTCGGTCTGCTCCACACAGAGAATAAGATTTATCAAGAACGAGGTAAATTGAGACAATAGTGTTTAATAATTCGCATGAATTCTTTTTTTAATATATACATGTATAATAACGATAATGTTTTACATATATCTCTGCCTCTATAAATGTTGATCGCTTAACGAAATGAGATCACATTTCTTAAAAAAAAATATATATATATATATATATATATATATATATTTATATATACATATATGTTTTTACATAAATTCTTACATTAATATAAAAATAAAGGATTATCGTAAGAACGCAATCCCTGTATATATGTACATCGAATGAGTTTAATTAATTCAATCCTGCTTCTCGAGAAGACCTCGATAATATCATACGTTTGACCAAGGATAATATTTGAATTTAAAACGGAAGGAGACTGTTAAGCCAGCACGGAAATTCGCGTTTCTCACAGTACACGGAGAATGGAGCATGTAGCACAGAGCATGCAATACAGGAGATGAAATGCGCAGCGTAAAGCATGTAGCACATATATGTAAATCTACCTAATCCTCCGAGCCTGTGTGTGTCACCGTAGCATGCCATGCACGAAATTCGTTCTTTTTCTTTGCCTCTCTCTTTCTCTCTTTCTTTCTATATCTCTCTGCTGTTCCATATCTAACTATACACTTTCCACTTTTCGTCTTATAAACCTAAAACTTGCTCTGCCACTACCATAGTCCTCGGTATTTTGCTAATGTTGCCACAGTCCTTCCTCCCTGCAGTGTAATTCAACAGCCACTGCTATATACAATCCGCCCTCTTCTGTTTCCCTTTTTCTGTTCCTTTTTTACCCCTTTTTTACCTTTTGTAATGCTTAATGTTGCCCCTCCCCCAAATCCAGAATCTCTTTATTAAAATCTCTTTATTTATAAGAGTACCAATTTATATATCTACGCTGCACTTAATTATGCGACGATCATCGGCAGAAAAACGAACGGACGCGGTTAATAGTTTTGCTAATCTCTTCTTCGAGGCGGGCTCATTACTGCTGGTGGACGCGATATTCCTTGTTCCATAATTTTTGTTTAAACGCAGCCTCATTTGCAAGTATAATGAGGGTAGCGGCCGGAAACGTACAATTAAATATAAAAAAAGAAAAAAAGGAAAACGCGCTGAAATACCGTAGAATATATATATATATATATATATATATATATATATATATATATCCGAGATATTATGAAACGTCAGCATTGCTATCCTCTCATTAGTATATGACAAGCGTAAATTTCTCACGCGAGAGCCGTGGAATGAGTAAAACCTGTTATTCCCGCAGCTCACCGGCAGTGCCGAACACGCCCGTCGCGGATCGTAATGTCATTACCGAAATCGCGGTTTTGCGCGAGGTCACATGCAGCTGTGCTGTGCGACGTAGTATGTATATATAACCGAACGGGGATAAAACGTTGCGGCATCCAAAATCGGATTCCAAAAACAAAAGCAATTAATCGCCAGTATCCGGAGGCATATTCGAACCGCTTAATTCACGTTTGGCCGATGCTCGCGCAATGTGGCCGCCACCGCGACGGAATGCCACTTTGGTGTCTGGAATGCGGTGTAATGATCGTAATCACCTAAGATTCAGTTACGGAGGAATGTTTCTCCGGTGCGGTATGTACGCGCTGGAGGCCACGCGAAGGAAATTAGAAGCGGAAACTCTAGGCGCGAGTCGAATAAAAAAAAAAAGTCGATCGAGAGTGAAAAGTAGAGGAACCGCAAATTTTTGAATAACGCGGAATGATGAGGTATCATCGATCAGTATCAATTTTCGCGTGACCTCGGCCGTCGTAAGCGCACAAGCTCCATTTTTGCAAACATCATAGACGCGTCGGAAGACATTATTCTGTACATAGGAAATCTCAATATAAAAACTTACATTTTTTTATGTATAAATTCAAAGATACGAGAGCTCGAAATTCTCACGCGGAATGACATTGCTTTCTTTTTGCTATAAAATTCTCTTTGTGATACAAAATTTTTCCATGCGAAAATGAAATTCAGCATTTACGACAGCTCTTCTTTTTTTACGATAATGCGTACTCGCGAGAAAATTTTAGAATATTCTTTCCAGATCATGATAAAATTATACGTATGAATATATTAATTGAGAGGAATTATAATGTCAAATTTGATGACGTCTATGATACAGCGGCACGGAGGGCATCCTAAATCGATTCCATGCGGAGAGAAATTTATGCTGTTTCCCGACAGAATTGGATCGTGACGCAACAACCAGGAACCGCTTTAGGTTGCTCGTGATAACTTTGCTTCTAATTACTGTACTCCCCGAGGTACCCGCCCTCCTGTCCCGAACCGAACACTACCTCAGTGTCTAATTACTGTATGTTAGAGCGAAGATATTTGTGTTCTTGTTCTCCCGGCAGTTGGATACACAATGCGCGATATTCGGTACAAATGGAACGCCGGCCTACAGTCGGTCGGCATCTCGAACGAAGTGGAACTACCGCAGTTTCGCGTGCTCGGTCACAGGCAACGACAGACAACCATACACCTATCTACAGGTAGATATCCCCTCTTATTCGTTCTTCCTTCGAAACTTGGTCCAAAATTTTGCGTCGATATAATGTATGTATATATCAGAGAAAATGTGCGCTCAAATCATAATTATCATAATTATTTTCGCGGATAATAATGCCCTCGAAGCGAGATAATGATCTTATCTCAGGAATATGTGTAAACGTGCACTGCATTTACGCGGGATTTAACGCAGAATTTCTACGATGCATATTTTATACTTAAATAAGATTCATATTTTATATATATATATATATATATATGTATGTATACAATATGAGTCTTATTTTATCCGCATCGATATGCACCGATCACTAGCGTCTTTCTCGCGAACACAATTAATTATGTAAGAACGAATTTATTCAATAAAGACTACTGTGTAGTCTTATGGCCATTCATTTCGACCGATCGACTGATTGACTCATCGGTTTTTCCCTACACTACAAAAGACGCAGACGTTAGTTGAATTACGTTTATCCATCGTTCCCAGACGTGATTTCCTCTTCACGCTTGTAGGTGGACGATATACTATTTTTACCTTTATCTTTTATTACACATAAATTACATATAAATTAAAACTTGCAGAAAAGCAAACGGTTCAATTTTTGTAGAGTCTCAAAATTTCGATATAATAAATATACCTGATTGATACAGTCGCTAATAAAATAGTATCACGTCCATCTCCTTTTGGCCCAACATCCATCATCTACAACATCAAAACAATAATCGACACGACGGACTCGTAAATACGGATGATGCTCCTTCGCTTCTCGATCGTATTTCACGATCGGGAAGATCGTCCACGATCTCTCATTACACGTCAGATATTCCGTCTCCACACGCCCCTTTGAAACGTTAATTTAATCCGGGCTCTCGATAGCTCTCGTCGCGAGAGAGCGCCTCTCACGAAGCAAGACAGAGAGTAAGATAAACCGAGAAGGACAGATAGATAGAAAGAAAGAAGGAAAAGAGAGTAAAGGGGAGAAAGTGAAAGAGAGCGGACTCGTGAGGTTTGATGGGGGTGCGAGGTAAGTGGAGGCCCCCTCGGAGCTGAAATGCGTTTGAGGGCTTCCGCGAAGGTACGTACCAACCGCGGGGGGTCTCTCTATTTTTTCAGTCGGATACACGATGAGGGACATCCGGTACAAGTGGAACGAGGGCCCGAACAGCGTCGGGGTCAGCAACGAGGTCTCCCTGCCTCAGTTCAAGGTCCTCGGTCATCGTCAGCGTGCCATGGAGATTAGTCTTACCACCGGTAACGTATGAAACACAACCCCACCCCCCCACCACCAACAAATAATTGTTCAACCCTCGCTTTTAACGGCATGGGTAAGGTGGAGAGACACGTGAGCGCTATCCGATGTCCGCAGGCGCAATTGCCGCTCGTAAGAGAAACTCGTCGTAAATCCTGTGTTACCTTACTTACGTAAAGCCGTCGATCGATCGATCGATCTCTCTCTTTCTCGCGATCTCACGCGTTTATTTAGCCTCGTCGAATAGCGGAGCTGGCTGGCATTTCGGCTCCGCCGCGCCTCAGAGCTCTGCGGTTCAGCCGCGAGAAGACTTTCTCCTTCAGAAATCATTGTTTCCACATTCCTTCGTTAAGGTGAAATTTCTGCGCAACACGCAATTATCTTCCATTATCGATCGTCAATAGAGTATATATATATATATACTCTTATTATTACCGTCAATTTCTGAGCCATCTTCTCTGTCTCTCGTGTTGCGAATAATCGGGATTATTCAATGATGAAACGACGCACTCGAGTCGAAAACAATCTTACGCAGTCACGAACGTCGTTTCAAACTTTCATCCTTCGATGCTTCGTACGCTCGTAATTATCCACTGATTACACCGCAGATGGTGATTAGATGATGCACATTCATGGCTAACGACATGGAAGGGCAGGTTAATGTCTTTCTTTCTCCTCGCTGCGCAAGAAATAAATTGTCGCCGATTCGCTAAAACGGAAAAGTGCCATTATATAGGATATGTGCGAATTGCGAGGCAGCTCGGATTTTTCATCCTCGTCGATTCTTTTCTCCTTTCGCAATCGCATATGTATATCTCGAACCTCCTGAACGCCGCCAGCACTTCATATACGGACATCTACATCGGCGGACATAATGTATATATAACAACAACAACGAGCCGCACAAAGAGTCGCCGCGCATCAACGACGAGAATTTCACTTAACATCCAGCCAGCTCTGGCGCGTCGTATTTCCGGCCGACGCAAGAAACGGAGAGAGCTACTCGCGAACAATAAAACCGCTTTTCCTGGCAAAGGCCAGCGATGGAACGGAAGCTGAAAAGGAGGAAAATCGAAGGCACACACAGAGAGAGAAAGAGAGAGAGAGAGACACGCAAGGGAACGAGAAGGCGAGAAAGAGAGAGAGAGATAAACGAATAGTGAGGAGGAAGGACAGTGAGCACGGGAGATAAAGAGACATTAAATAGCGCCTCTCCGTCTCCCTGTCCTGACCTTCGATCTTTTAATCGTAGGGAATTACTCGCGGCTGGCCTGCGAGATCCAGTTCGTACGGTCGATGGGCTACTACCTGATCCAGATCTACATACCCTCGGGGCTGATTGTCATAATATCGTGGGTGAGCTTTTGGCTAAACCGAAACGCGACCCCCGCTCGGGTGGCCCTCGGAGTAACCACTGTGCTCACTATGACGACCCTAATGTCCTCGACGAACGCGGCGCTACCAAAGATCTCCTACGTCAAGTCCATCGACGTCTATCTGGGCACCTGCTTCGTCATGGTCTTTGCCTCGTTGCTCGGTGAGTGCGATCGTGTACTCTTCCGTGCCTTTACGTCGCTGCCATTAAGCTTTCCATCCTGCGTCCTCTCATATACTCCGTATAGCTCGGAGCCGTGCCGTTCCAGTAGCGAGCTCGTAGAGTATCGTAGACGGATACTTGTGCAGGGCTCACGTGACAAATGCAAGAGACCCATCTTCCTCGAAATCGTTATTTATCGTGCGACGATAAGAGAGGGCCCGTTTGGAAAAACTATCATTTTATGATGATACGGCGCCTCGTAAATCGTTGATTTTCACGAAGCAATCGCAAAAGCATGAAAAATCAATGCGGTGAGAGTCCCGCGGGTATATTATCTATTTCGATCGATTTAGCCCGAACACACGGCCTGATGACACATAATATATTTATATACACATACATATATATATACACATTGTTGCGTTTTCATAACTGCGATCGCGAGTACCTCATTACGTACGACACCAAGGTACTTCGCCATCGCGGTGCTCTGCATGGCAGCAGGATTTCCAGGGAAATGGCTTTCTTTCATCTGCACGTGAGCTCTACACAAGTACCGGGAGCGCAAGCATGAGTGAGATTCTCGACGGATGGAAGTGGGGCCCGTGAAAAACCGGGCTTTTCCCCCCGGGTCTTACAGTGGCAGACGTGTCGTGGCATTGAATGGTTACGTGTTTTCATTCCCGTGGATTCTTCTTCTTCGCAGAATACGCCACGGTGGGCTACATGGCGAAGAGGATTCAGATGCGGAAGAATCGCTTCCAAAAGATTGCCGAGAGCATGAAGGCCGCGAGCGAGAATCCAGGACCGCCGCGCGTGCCCGGCGATCATGGCGATCACGCGCCTAAGCAAACTGTGAGTAACGTCGACCGGAGTGTCGTCGTGCCCGAATTTCTTTTTTTTTTTTTTTCTTTTTTCTCGTTTGTTTCTCTTCCATACAGAATGTCGTTTCGTCACCGCGACATTTGTTACCAGGAGATCCAGACGTACTAATGCTCCTCTGGACGAGTTAACACGCTTTCTTTCAGCGCATACGCGATCGGCACATCCAGACGCCGATCGTGGCACAATTATATTTCTCATGGCATAATCATATAATAATACTTGGTTCATCATTTTACGGCTCTCGGCAGAGAGAAGGGGATTCACGTGCTACTAAAAATGTTAGATAAATATATATCGATGTTTGTTTTCCGCCTACATCAGCACAACGAAGAAAGTCCCATCAATTTTAAATGATATAGAAATTTAAACGAACAAGATAGCACGTGGTATTGAATAATGTGACAGTTGTGACCAAAAACAAATCTTTTCGATAATCATCGGCACACACAGAAAAGGGACATTAGAGCTAATCATCGAGCTCTTCTCCTCGTCACAAGGGCAGGCTCAACGGGACGGAGCCGAGCATTATCCTCGTTCCGGCTCAGCACATACCATCGCGCGATTTAAATATGCACTCTTCCCCCTTTCCTAAAAAACTAGAAACAGCAGGCGACTCGTAAAAGGTCAAAAGCTAAAAGGTTCTGCGAGATGAATTCCCATTCGGCCGCGCAACACGCTGGACACCCATGAATACGACGCACTATAAATTTTCTTTTAATCTTCGATATTGTAGAGCGGGAAAATGAAAAATATTAAAGGACCGAAAAAAAAAAGTGAAAAAGAAGAGCGCATTATGAGGGAGAGAGGGAACAAGAAAGAAATAAATGAACGGACGACAGGGATGAACGAGACGGACGACAAAAAACGCTCGTAAAGGGTCGACAGAATAAAACATTTTAATTAATTATTGCTGGAAAGTTAATTCATTATTCATGATTTGGCGGGAGACGCTCGAGACGATAAATATGACGATACACTATAATATAATTATATATATAATCATATATTCCTAATAATTATATATTTCTTCCAAGATTTTTACAGCTCGATCATTATTCTCTTTGAAATGTTAGACAGATATTACTAGATTTGATATTTTGATAATTTTATTAATTTTATTTTTCAGAGAGAGATGCGTCCATTTGATAATAAAAATAATAAAACTGTCAAAATTATATCCCACAATTTTTTTTACAGCATATCTTACAGCATTCTCCAATATATATCTAAAATGTCTGTGTGTGCAGTCATTAATATTCATTTGATCAAAAATGAAACTCTAATAATCTTGCGCGTCCAATCATTTTGTGCGTCAAATAAATACAAAATCTATTCCCTCCTCCGCATCTCTCCATCCCGACGATATATCTATATAAATAGCACCATATACACCAGCTTCTAACTCGAATTTTCACAAATCTCTTTTGCTTGAGCACGAGCAGCCGTCGCACCGCGCGTTTCTACGAACCGCGGTCCTTTTACGAGAGACTTTCCCTCGTTTTTTACACTACGTTTAGCCGAATAAAAGCTAAAACAGACGCGCAACGGCGCGAAACTAAAAAGGCAGGTGAGTCTCTCGAACACCGATCGCCCCGATTAATCACGTAAAAATCAGACGTCACCGCTATTAAACGATTAAAAAAAAAAAAATACACAATGCCCGGTCCTCGGTGTCGCATGTCACAATGTCCGACAAAGTAAGGGGTAAACCTCGGGTGAGGAACACCCCACGGCGAACTGCCGTGTCTCTTGTAAGTGGTCCCGTGTTGTCCAGGAGGTGCGGTTCAAGGTGCACGACCCAAAGGCACACAGCAAAGGTGGGACACTTGAGAACACCATAAACGGTCGCGCCGATGAGGAATCGGCGGGCGCGCCGCAACATATTATTCATCCTGGCAAAGACATCACCAAGCTCTACGGTATGAGTAGACCATGTACGCACATTTACTACACTATTTTACCCTTCGCCTGGCAAGCTATCAAACAAAAATATTTTTAGCTTGGCAGGCTGTCTATTTCAACGAGCTTCTGAACGGGGCATATATATACATATATATATATAACAAACGTCACTGTACGGCTTAACCGTCAGCGAGCTTGTGAGACCACTGGCGTGGCATCATCGTCCGAGCCTGATAAGGCTTAATATTGATATCGAGAATGGTTTGTCAACTCTTTCTCAAAATTATAAAATAATATAATTATATATACATATATATATATATATATATACACGATGATGCCACGGGCCTGCGACCGTTGTGTATTATACATATATCTTTCTGCGCTTCAATCACCGTCCGAAATCGCTTGTCACTGACGTTATGCTATGAAAAGCTTCTTGCATTGAGAAATTTTTGTATATATACATACGTATGTTTATATATATATATATACATACGATTTATTTTCAAGCATTACGATGCACTATATTTAGACGCTTTTTTCCTTGTACTCTCTCGAGAGAAAACGGCACCGCGCGAAATCGGAAGCTCACTGAAATATGCAATTGTCTTCCCTCTACTCTCATGCGCCACTTATTCTAAGTCATCTTGACGTTCCCTTAAACAGGCATCACGCCGTCGGACATCGACAAGTATTCCCGCATCGTGTTCCCAGTGTGCTTCGTCTGCTTCAATCTGATGTACTGGATCATTTATCTCCACATCAGCGACGTGGTTGCAGACGATCTCGTGCTGCTCGAGGAGGCGAAGTAAACGACGACGTCGAGGCGCTTCGTATCGAGAAGAAGGGAGAGCAAAAAGTACAGGCGGAATCGAGCACTTGAAGGAGGGACAAGACGAGAGAGCCGGTTCGTAAGGAAGAAGGAAGACGAGAAAAAAAACGGTGCGGAGGAACGCGAATCCCAGGCGCGTTTGGTGGCCACTTCGAGGCGCAAGTAGTAAAAGCGAACGACAAGCGAGACCAGCTCGCGAGCAGGAGAGCGCTTCATGTCCATCTCGAGGACGCTCAGCGACTTCTTTCGCGACTGCGAAGTTAACAGCGGGCGTATTAGACTCGGAGTAAGACCACTTACTCGCGATCTAACGGAAAGTATGTATAAAAGAAAAAAGCGAACGCTTTCGTGTCGCTCCGAAAGAGACGCGGCTGACCAAACGCGCGCTCCAACTACTGCGTGGTGGCTTCTGTCGCGATTATTACTCCAGACAAAGATGCTCTCGTTCGTCAATCAACGATCGACCTCGCGTAAAGTCTCGGCTAACGTCTCGCTCTCCACGAGGTGTCTTCGTTAAAAGACTCATATATATATATTATATATCTATATATATATATATATATATATGTATAGACACGTGTGTCGCGCGATGTACAAGGATACCTATATTACATATGTCGCGGCGTAAACGGGCAAAACAGAGGCTCAAAAATTTCCGAAAGCGAATCTCTACGAGCATACATACCATAAAACATTGCCAGGTATTTCTAGGTATTCCTAGTTCTTAAACGGAGAAAATACCTTCGATATAAACACTTGTCAATTTAGCCACCATTATATAGTAACGTTAACTAACGCTAAGGACAACACCGAGACTCGTCGGTTTGAAGCGACAGTTCAATCGAGAACGGCTCGAGGGGAGACGGAAAAATATAGGATTATCGACGTTCGTCGAGGTCGAGGATAAATCGTCGCTCTGTCACGCCGTCTGCAGCGCTCGTACGCGGACGGAGGAAACGTAGCGGAAATCGTGCGGTGGCATGTGTGTGCGTGCATGCGAGCGAGCGAGAAAGAGAACGCGAGAGAGAGAGAGAGAGAGAAAGAGAGAAAGAATGACACGAGCGTGAATGTGTGCGTGAAGGTGAGCGCGGAATGAAGAAACGACGGACAGGAAAGTTCATATTCCGAATGAAGATATAAACGATGTACTATTGGAGACTGGTGCGACTTATTACTTAAGTAAGTACAGTATAAGTATATGTATATTAACCATATATATATGTATATATATATATATATTTATTTATATATATATATATATATGTATATTTATATATATATGGCGCGCGTACGCGGCCGCGTTAGATACGCGCGTGCATGCATATTAGATACGTGCGTGCACACACGCGTACGCAGGACGCGTACAAACGATCGATAAGCGAGATCTACGAAAAACAAGAAAAAAAAAACTAGGGAACTCTGTGCGATACGGGACGCTTATGACGAAAACGGCTTCGATTTTACGGTAGCGGCTTCTTCTCAGCATCCGCATTTATTTGGATTATGGCCAAGCAAAAGCCAAGTCTCTCTCTCTTTTCATTTCGTAGAACTTTTTTACGATTTTTAACAGCGCGATACTTTTGTATTTTTCTCCGTATACGTATATACACATACATATATGACTTGCGCGCGTCGTCGCTACATATCGTGAAATCGCGTAACTCTTCGTCTACTTCGTCGTCGGGGATGTTTCTCTCTTTGTACGCGTGTATACGTGCGTGTGCGCGCGGCTCAATCGGGAGTACTCTTAGCTCGTACTACGTAGTCGCGACTGTTTACATAGGGACGTATGACGATTATAGATCGGACGTAAAAAACATTCCAATAGAGTCGAGAAAATCAAGATGGGGATAGCGAGCCAAGACAGAATATACAACTCTCTCTTTCGGCACTCGTATATTGCACTGATATATCTACTTTTGCCTGAAGAAGATTCTCGCGAGAGAACAATGAATATATAATTAACGTCACGCGGATATATATTTGTATCATTTGTAATGAATTAAAATTAATGGACGTGTCTTTTATTCGATTATATATAAATGGAGGCGGAGAAATAATGAGAATAAATTTTGTATAACCGCGTTTGGAATATCTTGTTATTCGCGAAATACTGAAACATTTTCTATCGAGAGATTTATATTTTAATTGTGTGTCTTTTTATACCGTCAACGTGACGCAATGAATTTTAATTTCGATTTAAATCGCTACTAATTCTGTCAATATCCTCTATGGCACTCACATTTATATATATGCAGAAAATGGAAACTATGAGATACAATTTTGCTTTTATCTACATGGATTGCTTTCAGCTCCGAACGTATAATAATCTTCTTATTCCGCAAAGTATTTCGTTGCACGAGAAATGTTTTTATCACTTTTAATTAACGTTGATTGCATAGTTTTTTTACTTCCCTTTTTTATTCGCTACTCGCGCTTTCTGAAATTCTGCTCACCATTACAAACCATCGATCACACTTACAAGAAGCTTCCAAAACATATATTAGGAGAGCTTTCTTTACTTATACATATACAGGTTGTTCTGACAACTTAGCATTTTCTTTTGTCAAATAGTCAATTCTTTCTTAGCAAAGCTTGGATTATAAGTAAATGCCATTTTCTTGTTTCTTTAATCAAGAAAATTGTGTATTCTAATAATTAAATTTAATTTTCAATTAAAATTCTATTAATCTTGATTTAAAATTAATTAAATATAAAAGTTTTAGTACTTTATTAAATTTAAAATTCATATTAAAGTTATTATATTATTTTATTATTATCCAATTTAATGCTCAACTTTTTAAAAACTCAAGCGTTTGCCAATTTTCAAACATTTATAATATAAAGAATAATTTTTAATATTTGCGATATAGAAAAAGCGCGCGCGAAGGGAAAACTTATAAAACATTATATATATATATATATATATCTCTCTCTTTTTGCTAGTTTCTCTCTCGTCCTTCGAACCTAGCGGCTGACTGCAAGCTGGGCCGTAGAAGCTTGCCATTCAGGATATCGACCAGCTGACACGCCCAACCCACCCTCCGACTCTTTCTCGCCCCTTCTACGTTATCGTTCTTACTCTCTCTCTCTCTCTCCCGCTCTCTATTCTTGTCCTCCATTCTACTTCGCAATCGCCAAATAGTCCAGTTATATCGGACGCTGTCAGTCGTTCATTTAATAACGAGATCCTTGCCTTAGTACTCCGCGAGAATTCTTTATGAAAATAGGAATCCTTAGCCGGGGATTCTGTCTTGGACCGCTATCCTCAGATATTTGAGAGAAACGAAGGAGGGATTCGAGCGTCACGTTCTGCCAATGTGAAAACGCGGAATCGTGCGATTTTTATTAGATAACGTCAGTTATCTTTATCGACTCTATCATTGAAAGTTACGAGTATCACGAGTCGACGACTATATGAGCATTCGTTTAAAAGATATGCTTAAATTTAATTAACAGGGTTTCTTTTATCTAGAGAACAACGCTTTAATTATGCAAAAAACGCTTAAAACAGAAAAATATAAAATTATTTCGTAAAATCGTTTAGTTGTTAAAACTAAAAATATTTAAGTATTTACATCAGATTTTAAAAATTTTAATTTATATATGCGCGGATTCAAAATGCGCGATTTTTTCTAAATAAATATTAAAAATAGTATTTTATAAAATACTTAAAAAGCATTTAACATAAATTAAAAAATGTTTTAAATTAAAATTTGATTCTAAAATATGGTTAATATTAAATTCTCATGAGTAGAATATTAAGAAAATCTCGACATTTTCAATTTACTTACGTCATTTTTATATCTTTCAACACATGTTGCATTCAAAGATGATTAATTAAAATCGCGTTATAATTTTAATCGGATTTCAGTTGCCGCAATAAAATTTCTTTCAACGCGACTGACTTTTCGTATTTCTTCAGGTATGTGAACGCGATTATACAACATCCGACACAGACTTACGCCCTATGTATTCACGAAGCACAAGCGCGATAATAATTCTTGATCGCGGATTTAATCGAGTGATCGCAGCGACTTATTTGGCTCTCACATTTTCCGTGTCGAACATTCAAACATCCGATTTCTGATCGGTTCTCTCGGTCACGCGACAATGCAAATAACGACGATGCGCGAGAAGGTGCAAATCGCGTGCCTGACCCTCGTTCGTTTCTTTCTTCGGCTACGCTCGTACATAATATGTAAGTATCGATACACTTCCACGTCCGCCCTAACCGGAAGCATTGTGTGCAATTTATATAACTCTGTACATCCGTTATCTACTCGGAGTCTCTATATAATAACGAAAAAGGTGGGAGAAAGAGAGGATCTAACTCGTTTTATCGTTGTGATATATTCTATGATAGCTATATGCATTTAATCGCGCATATATACGATGACGTACATATATGCGTGCCTATTGTTTACACTGAAACCTTAAGCCGGGCAAACAAATAACGGGAATTGACGCGTCCATGATGAAAGATGACGATGAAAAATTCTTCCTTAGGTAGGTGTGTAGTTAAGTATTAAGTAAAACGAACTAATTAATAATATAATAATTAATTATTTGCACGAATAATAAAATAATTAATGTAATGAAAAGTACATGTATCTCGCGATGTAACGTGTAATGAAGTTTTGAAATCGCGAATCAGCAATGTTCCTTTCGGATACGCCATGTTAAGCCAATTTATTAATCGTTAATGTAATCAATGATAAATGATGCTTTCATAATTCACAATAATCAATTGCGGGAATTAATTCTTTAAGAACAATTATGCAAATCTGCTATAATCCTATATAGAAGTTTTATTCCTCATTCATTTGATTCATTTATTATAATATTATAGAGAACGTCTTGTTATCATCTATGTAAGGTACTAACGTAAAAATAATTAACGTAACGCTTAATTAAATTTCTGAACACATTTGCTTTATTTTAATATTCTTGTGCTTGAGAAACCAATTTAATGCTTTAAAAGATTAGGTAACGGAAAAAAAACTTGATAGCAGGAATGTGTGTAATCTCATTTATTTGCGATAATTTAATCACTTCAACGCGATTCCTTGTGTCGAATATTTAACAAACTGCGTTAAATGCAAATCGACATACAAGACGCGTCAATTCCCAGGAAGACACGCCACGGTCGACCATTATTATAATTAGCCTCATTGAAATTAGTATTACCTTCGTTATTATTTTTATTACCGTTAATATTATATATGACCGTTTAAAAGAAGATTAAATAAATGATCTCTATTCTCTGCTAGGATGAATGATACTTGCGTTATCGGTGGGTACTTATTATATATCGCGTATAACATTAACAGATAAAATCGTTACAAAGAGCACCATCGATGCGCAAGTATCTTGAGATTTAATGAAAAGAAAGGAATGAAGAGAGAAAAACAGAATACTATTAATATTATATAAATCGATCACCTTGTAAATACGAGTTTTATACAGAGCATTGTATTCGTTAAACAAAGAGAGTACCTACTGCGAAATAATATGTGTATATATATATACGCATATACATATATACATATAAAAATTATATATATATATATATATATATATATATACATATACACATATACATATTATATATATAATATATATATGCAAATGTAGTGCACACGAGAATGTGACTGTTCGCACATATTTAGGTAAATTACTTTTAAAGTATAGGAAAAAAAGAAAAAAACCAAAGTAGACTGGAACGTCGGGGGGGAGTCGAAAAAAACTCAGTACGCGTATGTTCATTCGTTCATTCGTTCATTCGTTCGTTCGTTCGTTCGTCCATACGTCCGTTCGTAGCGTATATAGGTCATGATAATCGACAGTTCGAAATTAATTACTTGGCAACCATCTATGTAAAAATGGCGAATTCCAAATATTTTCCGCGATCACCGACAGATCGATAAAGACGACTAGAAGAGTTAATCTGTGGGCTCGTAAATATAAATATATCTCATATTTATCATTATGCATAGATAAGAATAACATGAACGAATTCTACGTGTGATAAAATTTTTTGTTAATGCATCTATATATTAGACATTCGCAATCATTATATTCATCCGCGGATGTAAACGTAAAAATTGCTCAAAACATGGTTGTCAAATTTTCAACAGATGTATATAAATCACAAGTAATTTTGAGTTTTACAGCAGAGAAATATAATTGTTTGTAGATAATAAAAAAAAAATATATATATATATATTAATAAATAA